CAGCAATAACAACAACAACAAACCCTTCCAGTAAAACAAAGAGAATTTAAAAGGTGAATGTCACCATCTATACACCCCTCACTTCCATCCTCTTCCCCAGAGGTAATTGCTACAATTGGTTTTTGAGCAGTTCTATATGTATTCTTAAAGAAAGAAGGATTTTCTCTCAGTTTTATCAGGAAATGTGTAAAAGCAGGACTTTCCATTTCTTTAATGCATTCAAGATGGGAGAACAGCACACACATGTGACCCTTCTATTTTTTTTTCATTTATTTCCACTTCTTATGCCTTCCTGCTCTCTCTTGTCTAAGACCTTATGCCCCACTTCTAAATGACTCATGTATTTGTTCCCTCGTGCATTTTCCTGGCTATTCTTTGGATTGGGTGATGGGGAGTGTGAGTCCTGTAAGTTAAGGGCACTAGGAGCAGACGTGGACCTTGGTGGGAGCAAGTGCATTCAGCCATGTTTAAAAGGACTAGTAAAATATCGGTATATAGCTAGTGATAGATATCAGTGGTCCTGAGCCATGTGGCCAGATCTGTGAGTAGGCATAAATAAATTCAGTAACAGGCCAGTTATACAAAACCCAGAAGACTGTTTGTTATTCTTCATTTTCAAAGACACCATCACATTGATTATGTGAAAATGTGAAGTTAATTAGCACTCCAGAGCTCTGTCAAACTGAAAAACTGCAAGACATTTAAGAGTTTTTATTTATTTTGTTTTGAGACTGGACCTATTTCTTAGGTTTTCAATGGGCAGAATATATTCTGAGGTTGCGGTTTGGATTGCTTACTATTAGGAAGATACTGCCCACTGTAGATACTGTGGTAAATAATAGATCACAACACAAAATTGTGGGCTTACTTGGTCATCCTATGATGACCTTTCCAATTCTAAATGCTATGCTTTTCTTTAATTCTTTAACTCCCTAGGTCCTTGTTCCCATAAGTTCTCTGTGGAATAAGAGGGTGCTAGCATTGTTTTGTGGAATCCCTAGGAGATGAGAGTGAACACAGGTGAGGTGGGCACTGTTCCTCCACCTAGTGTGCTCATGTGGTGGGTTTTACTTAGATAGTCTCCTTGTTGATTTGTCAAGTTGCTTTTAAGATAATTCATCATCCATTCACTTATCTGTTCGACAGGAATGATCTTCATGATTTCAGAAGGCAGATGATCTCATTTTAAACAATAGAGATGTGAACTTTCTGTCCCATATTCCTAAAACCCAAAGTATTAGGATCCTTAAGGCAGATTCAAGGTACATAAGTTTAACCCTTTCATGACTGAATTATTTTCTGCTTTGAATTTTTTGTTGATACTGTGTTTTCAGTACTAATGGAAGGCATGCTGAAATCAGGGGAAAACATTATTTGAAGTAATATGGATTTTGACACAATTATATGGGGCACATATGGCCCAAGTGGACTCTGGTGATAAGATTGGTGGGGGTGAGGCCTGTTTCTTCAGATTAATGAAGTTATACAAGTCCCCACTAGGCAGCAGCATATACTACACCTGGGACAAGAGCTTCCCAAGAATCCTGAGAGGCTGAAAATGTTGGTGGGTGGTATATGTCCTACAAGGCACAAAAGGGTTAAAAAAAGTTAAGACTTAGAATACCCTGGATACCATTCATGAAGATGGATCAAGACCATGCAGCACTTCATTCTGCTATGCATAAGGACACTATGAGCCAGGGCCAACTTCATGGCAACTACAAAAACTAATAAAAACAACAGAATTCCCTGAACAATGATAATATAGAAATCTGTGGAGTAAAACACAAATCTGGTGATTTGGTGGTTTTAAGTTCACAAACCTTACCCAATAGATGGAGAGAATTTTTTTCCCCTGACAAATATGAATCACTATAAATATTTAACACAACAATTACAGAAAACAACTTATGGTTTTGTTTTAAACTATTTTAATGTGAATCAGCAGGAACATAGTTCTTTAAAACAATCTTCAACTTTAAAGTCTTTCAAGAGCTCAAAGAACAGAAAATTTTAAAAGGGCTTTTGGTCCTCCAAATCCACCATTTCTGTCCTACTCTTTGTTTGTGTGTGGCTCCTTCCATCATTCTTTGGGCCTAACTCCTTTTGTCACTATTGCCTTTATCCCAGGTCTTTTCTTCCCAGCAGCTCAGAGTTGCTGTAGATACTGTAAATCTATTCTTGTTCCAAAGGAAAACAAGTGAGCAGTATCTCAGCCCTGCCAACCTTCTTTACCAACTTCAAGCAAATAGCCATATTGTATTTAAGAGAGGGATGGAGAATTATTTGGGGCCAGAGTAGACTCTAGTGGAAATATACCTGATGTGCATTATTATGTAGGAAGTGCTTACCTCAGCAGCCATTGGTTTGTTGATACTATTCACAAATTTGTTCACATGTTCAAAGTGTTTTGTCATCTCTGTTGCCAAAACCATGTCAATAATAGCCTGACGCAGTGTTCGATAATGATTCCTAAAAATAACCAGAAGACAAAGGGCTTGTTCACGTCACAGCCAGCATTGCAACCTGTCACATGGTAGGTACTGATTTGACAAGGTGATTTCTTTCTCCCTTCCCTTAGCAACAAGCAAGTTCAAAGAAATGAGACATTCCTTCCCTATGAGGCTGGTACAGCAGCCCAATGAACTGCCCTATTACATTCAGTACAGACACAGTGATTCCTATCGCAGACAAATGTCATGATTTCTTTTGAAAATGACATTGGAAGAATGTTTTCTTGTAAATAAGTAATCCTCCAGACTGCAACTAGTTAGAATTTGTAATGGATAAAGCAACAACCCTGCCCCAAATTACTGACCAATTCTTATCATCTAACTTCAAGAGCCAGAATGGGAAGCTGAGTAACATTGGCTATTGGAAAACAATTCTTTCTACAAAACTTTGAATCCCAATCCTTGCATGATACTGATGAGGATGTCCTATTTTCTCAGGTTTCTAGACACCAGATGGATAAGTTCATATAGAAAAGTGGTCCCAAGGCCCTAGCCAGCTCTGTCTTCTCTGTTGAGGGATCTATCCCAGAAGTCTGCTCATGTGCCTGGCTGGTTCTGTGTGGAAAATACCTGCAGCCAGACTTCAGGGTTGCTATCAGCCAAGAGGAATTTCCCATAGATGTCAGCTTGTGGCCAGCTCTCACCCAGAAGAGACTGCAGCAGCTGCGGGGATACCCTTGGGCTTCAGCAGCTCTGCTGGGACCTATAAAGTATTTTTCCTCATGAAGTAGAATTTAGCTGGCCACACAATGAGTTGAGGAAAGACAAGGAAAGATACAGTTTCTCGAGTTTACAAAGAAGTCAGGATGTCCTTCTGGCAGGGGAGGAAACATCTGCTGTGCTTATTAAGGTTAAGGCATTTGGCTGCTAACAATAAGGTCAGCAGTTTGAACCCACCAGCCACTCAGCCTAAGAAAGATTAGGCAGTCTGTTTCTGTAAGGATTTACAGCCTTGGAAAACCAATGGAGGCGGCTAAGTTGGGATTGACTTGATGGCAGTGAGTTTGGGTTTTGGTTTTGTACTTATTATTAATAAAATTAATATTTACAAAGTACTTTGCAGTATATAAAATATTTTTATGAATCCAATGAAGACCAAGTCAGATTTAAAAAATAAACCCAATCTGAAAAGTATAATTTTTAACAGCGAAGTTATTTTATCCTGACACACATGGGATTGCCATGAGTTGGAATCAGCCCACTGGCAGCTGATATTATCTTATCATCTGATACAGTGGTGCAACTATTGTATTTTCCTTCCTCTCCCTTTTTCCCCAAAGCAGAAGCTCCATCAGTACTTGGAGAAGTTAGGGAAAACTTTTTCCCACTCAAACTTCACTAACCTGAGCACAGAGCCCAAGCACAACAAACCTGTCAATATTCTTGAAAATGTTGCATTTGCTGTCCTTGACTGTGAGCTGGAAGGCCAGGGCTGTGTGGTGACTCTCCAAGACAGCAGTGTCATTATAGAGCACAGCGAGTTCACTGCCTGCATTGCACAGGAAGGAATTGGTCCTCCCCGGGTGATCCACGTCATGGACTGTGGCAGCAATTAGTGCTGCCACCTCGTCCAGCTGATCCAGGCTTCCCTGGGGTCAGAGAGAGGGAAAACTGAGCATCACTGAGACAGGCCTGAGACCCACATCCATCCCTGCCTCTTAGGAGCAGAAGGTCTAGAAGAGTTGGGATTTTTCAGAATGTTGTCTTAGCCCTCTGAGCCTTCTCTGGCTTCCTAAATATTGAGAGGCTGCCTAGAACACATCACATAACCACCTTGCTGGGCTTTGATTAGCTGGAGGGAAATGGAAATCTGAACTGGTGCCAATAGATGCTGGATACCTAAACTCCTACTCCAGAGTCTTTTTGTACCACTTGTGCAGGAAGAAGCCAAACAGGCAGGTCTTTTGAATTGCCTACCATGTAGGGTTGCCACGACTCTCTTCTGTGTGTGCAAATAGAGCAGAAAGTGGCCTATGATGACATACATCACTTCTGAAAAGATTTTGAGAGCACTGGCAATAAACAGCACAGTTCAACGAAACTATTAACACAAACATAAAAGGCAAAAAGTGGCAAGGGAGAGAATCTCATAGAGAAAGACCCTATACGAACACCTGAAGGAGCAGGGGGTGTGGGAGGTGGCTTACTACATCAATTTACGAGAGTCGTTGTGGCTGAAAGATGGTGAGTGAGGGGGAATGAGATCCCCAAGGTAAGGCTAGAGGGGTGGGCATAACGTGTGTTCCCAAGAGTTGTTCTCATCAGCTTATGGGAAGAAAAACTGCAAACAGCTTCTCAGACACTATTCAGATAATGACCACTGAGTCTGAAGCTCAGCCCTGTCCGGCCCGAGGACAAATAAGTAATGACACAATGAATGGTCATTGCCCACTGCCATCAAGTTGGATCTGACTCATAACGAACCCTCCTTAGGTTTCTGAGGCAGTATCACTACAGAAGTTGATTGTCCAACCTTCCTTCTGAGGAGTCTGGTGGGTTGGAACCACCAGCCCTCTGGTTAGCAGTCAAATGTCTTAGGCATTACACCACCAGAGCTCCTGAATGGTCATTAGGCTGCATAATTATGTTGGTTTAGAGTGAGTGGTTAAGGCATTTTGGCTGCTAACCAGAAGGTCAGCGGTTTGAACTCACCAGCCTCTCTGTGGCAGAAAGATGAGGAAGTCTGCTTCTGTAAAGATTTACAGTTTTGGAAACCCAATAGGAGTTGCTATGAGTCTGAATCAACTCGATGGCAGTGAGTTTGGTGTTTTGGTGAGGGTTGTAAAGGGCTTTCCTGAAAGCTCCATCTCTACCAGAAGAGGGCCATTTTCCTTTCTAATCCTGACCCCATGGAGCTGGTGAGCAATCCTGGCTTTCCTAAGCAGGGACGATAGTAGATGTTACTCTTTTCAACTCTTCTCAGAAATTCTAATTGTAGCAAAGGAATCACAAGCTTCATTGTGCAAGTAATGGTAGCTGGGAAGGAGGGAGGCCAGCTGTATATCGGGCTGTACATAGAGCTTCCCTGCAAATCGGCACCCACACATGAAAGTACTGAATTCTTCTTAAGTAGGACCAAGGGACATGAAACACACTCAGAATAATGCAAAAGTCATTAATACACAGATATGCACATTGACATCTACACAACACACACACTGTGCAAATCATCAGTAGGCTGAATGGCTCATTATTTAATGGCTCCCTCTGGTAGCATAGTGGCTAAAGCACTCGACTGCTAACCAGAAGGCTGGCAGTTCAAACCCACCAGCCACTCCTCGGAAGGAAGGTTGGGCAATCCTACTTCCGTAGTGATACTGCCTCGGAAACCCAAGGAGGGGTCGCTATGAGTCGGGGCCGACTCGACGGCACATAACAACAACAACAACAACAACAATATACCAGGGCCAGATCCTGATGCTGAAACATAACTAGTAATTACCTAGTAATCATCTGTAATAATTAAGGTCTATCTTCTAACCCAATAACACAGAAGGCTAATGAACATTTGAAGAATGGGCTTCTGTACCAGTCAAGCATGTAAAGGAGTATCTTCTGTGGCATAAATTATTATGTTAGGCATTTGGGGGAGAGGAGGAGTAAGAGAAAGGGCCATATCTATAACACCAAAACCACCAGTCAATTTAATAATCTAAAAATCTCTGCCAAATTGGCTGTAAAATAGCTGTTTGCCCAGTGTATTTAACAACGTTCAGTTCTTGGGTCTTTAATCCAGGCAGGTAACTAGATCGTGGTATCAAAATTCTACCTTCACTCTTTCCTTTCCAAGGAAGAAAGCAGTGGCATGCAGGACGTCTGCGGCGTGAGTGGAGTTATGGTAGGCATTGGAGGAGTGGTAGTTGGCTTCGATCACTTGCAGCCAAGCCCGAAGAGTGGTTTCAGAGCAGTTCAAAAACTCACACACTCCAAACCGGGAAAAAACCTTTAAGCCCAGGTAAACCAATGGCCTGGAAAATAGGAAAACAAATCTAGTTAATTGTATTCACTGGCCCTGAAACAATCTCTCTGATGATCCTGGGAAGTAGAGGCATTCTTCTTCTGATGCTTAGTACACAGGGGCATAAAATCATCTCCTCCCTGGAATGTAGCAGAGCATCTCTCTGTCCTAAACCACTTCTTCTGAACCAGGTGCTTTGGGGTAGTCAATATAAATTATTTCTATAATTTCTAGTCAGAAGCCTTTCAGTTGGTCTGACAACCAAGAAAGGTCCCTGCAGTGCCTTTCTCTCCACTTCTACAGAAGTCCGTTGTTTATTTTGTGCCCACTGAGGAAGTTACTGAGTCTAAAGAGAGAAAGAATGGTTTGGGTGGTCTCATCTGAGTCACATCATTTACAGTCACATTACTCATTTATAGGTGAAAATCATACCTTATAGACCTTATAGACCAACACCACTGGGAAGAAACAGCCTTCTCCAAGTACAGAAAAGACTCACTTAACTGATCTTTCCCCTGCTTTTAGGATGGACCAAAAGACACATCACAGTATTTTCAGTAAGAGCTCACAAATTCATTTTGTTAGGTAAGGCTTCAACAAGTCTGGGGCTGAGAATACTTAGATTAGAATTCCTGGCTTTCAGTTTTTTAAAAAAAAAAAGACTGAGTAGATCTGAGAAGGAGACTGAGTATTTCCTCATCCTGGGTCATCATGAGGCTAATCCAACATCTTAGCCACTAATACTCTGTCTCCGTAAAGGAGCTCATTCAGAGACCAGTCTCTCTGCTTGACAATCCTCCAACATGGCAGGAAAAGCAGAACCTGTGCATAAGGACACATCTCCCTCAAAGTTCCAGATGCCTTGAGAATGGCCCTCAATCCCCCATTGTCCACAGCCAGAGAAACCACATACCTTTTATGTGTAACAGCTTCCAATTCAAAGATGTTGAAATCCCAACTTTCCTCATTATCAAGTAATTGAGCAATACAGGGGGGAACATCATTGATGGTGATTGGCATTGCAAGGTGACTGTGACTCTGGCTCACGTCTGAACAAACAGATGGGGGCAGGGAGGCTGGTTAATTTGGAATCTTGAGTGTCCCTGATATTTTTATCATCTTCATCGTAGTTACTAGAAAGAAAATCTTGAGCTTCCAAAAATTGGAAGATTTTCATTTCAATGACCTTCTCTTACATTATTAAACTTTATAATGCCCAAACAGAAAGATAATTTTAACCATCCAAATGTACAGAGATTTGAAATTCTTATTTTGACAGTTCTCAGAGAAGTAATTTTAATTAGGACACCTAGATTCACATGTAGACCACAAAGGTGCCTAGACTCAAGTAAGATCAATTGGAAGAAACACCAAGGCTCTCCCCAAACAATAACCACAACACTGGGGCTGACAAAGGCCAGAAATGGGTGATCAGTAACAAGGGGACAGGTACAAACTTACTCTTAGTAAACACATACTCGTTTCCTGACAACCTTCTTAAGCCATCCTGGAATAAAGAAAAGATGCCATTAGAAGCAGAAGTAAACCACGTAACTTCCTCCTTTATTATGCAGTAGTATTTGAATCGTGGATCAAATCTGGATTTCAATATCAATCTCCAACTTGAAATAGAGCTTAAAATGAAATCAGAACAACAGGTGCAAGACTCTCCCTTCCATGGCTATCACTCATGGGTGGTGGAGGATTGAGAATAAAGGGTATACGATTGCCTTCAGGTCTTACTCCTGAGCCATAGGCTGGAGCTACTCTTATTTTTCTCTTGCATTTTGAAGTCACATAAGTACAATCACAGAAGTGATCTTGCTTTGGATGCAGGTTATTTCAGAGGGCCCCACGTGTCCTCAGAGATACTGTCTCATTCTTTTGTTCTTAGATTTACATTCTGGGGAGCTGAAACCATGGATCACTACTTGAGGATGTAAGATCTTAAAATGTTTGGGCTGATAGCCAAAGTAATTTTTTTTTTTTTAAAGTGCATTTTCTGTTTTGCAACATGAGCACTGCCACTAGCTTTTAAAGAAAAAAGGCTCTGGATTTGAGGTCTCTGGAGAGGCAGCATAAAGGACTATCCAGAATTCTGATTCTGGTTCTGATACTATTACTAGACTCTTGAACCTGACCCAGTCCCCAAATGTTCTAGATTTTCAGGTTCCTTCCATCCATCTCAGATACTTGAGAATTTAGATCTCTGCTTATAAAAGCTTTTGGAAATGCTTATTTGTCTGTCATCCCCAAAAAGTATGTGCTGAGGTTTGTTGTTGTTGTTGTTGTTATATGCCGTTGAGTCGGCCCCGACTCATAGCGACCCCTCCTTGGGTTTCCGAGGCAGTATCACTATGGAAGTAGATTGCCCCATCTTCCTTCTGAGGAGTGGCTGGTGGGTTTGAACCACCAGCCTTCTGGTTAGCAGTCAAGGGCCTTAGCCACTATGCTACCAGAGTCAGTTTTGACCCATAGCGACCCTATGCCCAACAGAACAAAACACTGCCTGGTCCTGCATCATCCTCACAGTCCGTGCTATGTTTTGAGTCCATTGTTGCAGCCACTTTATCAGGTCTTTACCTTTTCACAACCCTCTACTTTACCAAGCATGATGTCCTTTTTTGGGGACTAGTCTCTCCTGATAACATGTCCAAAGTACATGAGATGAAGTTTTGCCTTCGTAGCTTCAAAGGAGCATTCTGGGTGTACTTCTTTCAATACAGATTTGTTTGTTTTTCTGGCAATCCATGGTATATTTATATTCTTCACCAATACTATAATTCAAATGTATCAGTTCTTCGCATGCATATGAAGCAATTAAAGATACATTGGCTTGGTCAGGCACACCTTAGTCCTCAAAGGGACATCTTTGCTTTTTAACACTATAAAGAAATATTTTGTAACAGATTTGCCCAGTGCAATACATTGTTTGATATCCTGACTGCTGCTTCCATAAATGTTGATTGTGGATTCAAGTGAAATGAAACCTTTGACAAATTCAGTCTTTTCTCCATTTATCATGGTGTTGCTTACTGGTCCAGTTGTGAGATTTTTGTTTTCTTTATGTTGAGATGTAATTCATACAGAGGGCTGTAATCTTTCTTTGACTTTCATCAGTAAGGGCTTCAAGTTCCCTTCACTTCACAAGTAAAGTTATGTCATCTGCATATCTCAGGTTATTAATGAGTCTTCCTCCAGTCCTGATGCTTCATTCCTCTTCATATAGTCCAGCTTCTCAGATTATTTGCTTAGCAACAGATTGAATAAATATGGTGAAATGATACAATTCTGACATACCTTTTCCTGATTTTAAACCATGCAGTATCCCCTTATTCTGTTCAAATGACTGACTCTTGGTTTATGTACAGGTTCCACATGAGCACAATTAAGCGTTCTGGAATTCCCGTTATTTGCAATGTTATTCATAATTTGTAATGTTCCACACAGTCAAATGCCTTTGCATAGTCAAGAAAATACACAGGTAAACATCTTTCTGATATACTCTGCTTTCAGCCAAGATCCATCTGACATCAGCAATGGTAATCTTTCATTCCCTGTCCTCTACTGAATCTGGCTTTAATTTCTGGCAGTTCCCTGTCAATGTACTGATGCAATTGTGTGTAATATTAAGGACATTGTTTGATAATTTCCTCATTCTCTGGGTCACTTTTCTTTGGCATGGGCACAGACATGGATTTCTTTCAGTCAGTTGGCCACGTGGCTGTCTTCCAAACTTCTTGGCATAGACAAGTGAGCTCTTCTAGTGTTGCATTCATTTGTTGAAACATCTTAATTAGTATTCTGTCTATTCCAGGGGCCTTGTTCTTTGCTAATGCTTTCAGTGCAGCTTGGACTTTTTCCTTTAATACCATTGGTTCTTTTCTTTTTTTTTTTCATTGTGATGTGGGTGAAAGTTTACAGAGCAAATTCACTTTCCATACAGCAGCTCACATACACTTTTGTCTCATGACATTGACTGCAATTTCCCACAATGCAACAGCTCCCCTCCCCCTTCCTCCCCATATTTACCTCTTCTCTGTGTCCTTCCCTCCCATGCACTCCTGCCCCCTGAGCTGTCTCCCTGTGCACACACAGCCTTCTATTCTCCCATGATTGAGCTCTCCAAGAAGTGTATTTACCTAATGTAAATGTTCAGCTCATAGGCCTGTCTTTTGTTTGGCTGGAAGCCACAGGAGTGGGTTCAACTCCAGACCTGAAGGACAGCTAGGGGCCATAGTCTCAGGGGTTCT